AATGTTCACAGGACCATGCTGCTGCCAATGCTCAGAGACTGTGGACAGATGCCTGCCCACCCCAGAAATAGTTCACGAGACAGTGTAGCAGCAGTGCCTTGGGGATTATGGAAAATCACAACACACATCTGGCACCAGGCTTCACAGCCAACAACATTGTTCCAGCACCAACGAATGTGGCCATTCTCTGGGGTTTGTTGGGCCAGGGTGGCCTCACAGCCTCTACCAAATATCCTTCCAGCAGTGGAACCGTTTCTCCCCATGTGGCCCGAGAACCTCCCAGACCCCTTTCTTCTCCTGGGGATTTACCCTTTATACCAGAGCACCACTAGGTATCAAGTTGCAGAGTTGCAGACTCTGCACTACCCCTGTTTACAGTCTTACTGGAATTTAAAGCCTCTCCTTTCTCCCTTTTTAGTTCAGTCCCTGTGGCTGTTTCCAATTTTCCACTTTCTCTCCAGCTATTTTTGGGGAGGGGTGATTTTCCCATATTCACCCTCCCCCAATCTCCATCCTCTCTCTGCATGCAAAAGCACCTCCCTGCTCTCCTCCGCTTCTCTCTCCCCAAGTTCACCTCTCCACACCGCACACTGCTGAATTCTGTGGTTCAGTTTGTGAAGATTGTTGTGTTAATACTCAGACCAGTTTTCTAGGTGTGCAGGATGGTTTAGTTTTGGTCTGGCTGTATTTCATGGATGCAAGACACACAAAAAACTTCCATGATGTTCTGCCCTCTTGGTTTCTCCCCCAGTCTATGGCTAGGACTTCTAATACTGTGTTGAATAGAGGTGGTGCGGGTGGACATCCACCATTGAATATGATGTTAGCTGTGGGCTTGTCACACAGGCCTTGAGCATTTTGTGGTGTAGGCCAATTCAAAGACTGAAGGCAGGGCTCACAGGTACCCATTTCTCATGCAAAAGAGGGCATGGGAGTGTGCTTCCTTAGAAGGCCCAGAGAGGCTGGGGCAGAAGTCTGAAATACTGGTCCTCCTTATGATAGGGATGGTCAGGGTTTACGCCTGAAGGACCATCAGCCCCCAGTAGTGCCTTGGCACCTGTGGCATCATCCCCCAATAGGTAGTGTGGCTCCTGTGGCACAAAGCAGAAATGGTAGTACTGCAGTAAATATAGAGTAATTACTGGTTGGCAAGCACACTGATAGGCAAGTACTCTGAAGATTAGAAAATTTGAGATTATACCTGGGGAAGGGGAGCCCAAAATGGAAACACTGGACGTCCTGCTAAAGCTGCAATTGGCGACTGGTGAACACATTGGAAAATAATGATAATGAAGAAAAGCAATAGGCCATATATTTGTACTCAGAGTTCACGGAACATTTCTTCCCAGTAAGATACAATGATACAAAGGACAGAAAGTTTTCTTTTTATATTTTGGTTGGCAAACAAGCGGGTAAAACATGACCCATACTTTTCACATGTCTGCTATAAATGTGCACTTAACATCATAGAGGAAATAAGTGAAAGTTAATCTACTCTCTGGGAGTATTTCCTTTCATGTTATCACTGCAACCTAAAGCAGAGTCTAGTTTCTCTTGAATCCTAAGCTCCAAAGAAAATGTATGGATTTATGAAGCAATGATAGTAATGAGTGTCCTCCTTAAGAAGTGGCTGCTGTTTCTGAAAAATGACGAGTAGCTAATAATATTCTCTCTTATAAAGGAATTGTTTTCTTTTGACACAGATCTACCTTTGTTTAACAGAAATGAAAGCAAAGAATAGAAGTAGCCTCACATATAATTAGGACAAGTTAGCTGCCAATAGAATTATGAACACTGTTACTTTTACAACCTTTTTAGATTTAGACCAGTGGGGTTGAGATTTTCAACCTATGTCTATCACTTCTAGCAGTCCCGTTAGTTTCTAAAAACAATATTTATGAGGCGGTAGCTAACTAATACAAGAGTAAGATGACTGTTTCCCCAAATTTGTGGTAATACATGGTGTCAAATTTTTCTATAATATTCCAGGGAATTTCCAGCATTTGAACCTGATTAACTGAAGCCATCCTTGGGTCCAAGGTGTCAGCCACTAACCTAGAAGACCATTCATGTCTTACTAAGGTGCTAGAGCCTGGGTATGCTGGCTAGTCATTCAGTTTGGGCCAGGGGAGATCTCAGTCATCTTTGCAGACAAAGACAAGCACATGCTACAACACTGAGACATTGTTTTTCAATCTTTTTGCCATTGTCAGCAAGTCCCTCCCAGTGACGTTTTCACATCACAGTTACACTTTGTGCATTCATGTGCTGTGGTCTTTGGAGGGCTACCCATCATTATATTTGCTAGGAGTTTTGCCACTTCCCTAGAAGCCAAGGTTTCTCCCTTGGGAGTGATATATGTGATGTGAATGCATACACTGGGGAAGGAAATCAGGTACTCAGTGTGACAAATTTTAGTATGGATGAGAAGAAATTAAAAGGAAATAGGTTACAAAGTTAGTAATCACTATTTCAAGGTTGAGGTAATGAGAACATTTTTTATCCTTTTTTTAAAAAATTTCCAGATACACACTTATAGGATTCCATAATATTATGCACATGAAAAAAATGTATTCTATATTTCCCTTTTCTTACGTTACAAATGTCCTAAACGTTAAAAGCCTGAAGATGTTGCTCCAGTATTTATTACCCAATGAATCATTTACATATTCTGTAGAATAGTAACATTTTCATGTATATTTACTAAAAATAGTTCATTCACTTAATAGTACTATCGATATTTACAGAGTATGTATTTCATGTTAGAAGTCAGTTTAGACACAGCAAAATCTCACATGAATGAGAGGTTCTATGTTGTTGAAAAGTTCACCAATGCCTTTTCCTCAAACATTTATACAAATAAATATATATGATGAGATAATCCCAATATAGTGATAGGAAAGTTTTTGGAGGGAATTCAAAGGACAATTTATGAGATTTGTAAGGACATTTGTCATGAGTAACATATCAACTGAGTGTAGAAGTTGAGAGATTTTTAAGTCGTAAACTACTTGTTTATCAAGATTGGGATGAGATTTTCTCACAAGGAAAAGTTTATATCCATTTTCAGTAATCAGACTGTCACCATTTTATATGTTGTCCTCTCAAACTCTTTACAATTCCTTGAAGTTTATATTTTCTCTGTGCCTTCCTATGTTTTGGTATCATCATCCTCTTTCATATTCTTATTTTTTCAAGGCTTACACACCTGTCAGGTTTAAAGCTACCCAGAAAAGAATGACAACTTCAGTTTTTTTACTGTGGAAACCTAGAAACCAGAAGGTTTAAATACGGGAGAGAAAAGACCATTAACAGTTACAACTCCATATTCACACTCCAATACTCCGGTAGATTGTGCCTCATTCAGCCTTGAAATCACAGAGCACGAGCCCCATAAATGTGAGGACTCTCACATGCAGGGCACTTCCAATCTCTGAAATGATCAACTTGTAGAGAAGAGGAGTGTTTTTTCTCCTAATAGAGATACTCAGAATTTGAATGCATTTTCCAGTAAAACAAAGTAAAAAATAATAGGGAACAAACATGACATTGCTAAAGTTTTGTTTTGTCAAATAAGAGCATCAAACCCCTTTGCCAAAATTACCATCAACTGTCACCATAATTGAATACAAGGAGAACAATTATAAAACCAAAGGGCAAGAATATCATATTAAATAAAGAATAACAAAATTTTTTTAAACATTTATTCATTTGTGAGAGACAGCACAAGTAGGGTAGGGGCAGAGAGAGAGGGAGACACAGAATTTAAGCAGGCTCCAGTCTCTGAGCTGTCAGCACAGAGTCTGACGTGGGGCTTGAACTCACAAGCTGTGAGAGCATGACCTGAGCCAAAGTCGGAAGCTTAACTGACTGACTTAACCACCCAGGTACCCCAAGAATAACTTTTGATATTGATTTAATTTCATGAAACTTCTCATTTCCTTCATTACTCTTATCTAAAAGCCTCGAGAAACCATTACCCATCTATTTTCCCATGTCTATAGAAAGGAAATTAATTAAAATATATAAAACCATGTACATTTTCTGTTTAGAGACCCAGTGTCTCTCTATTCTCTGTAACAGTAGTTCTCAAACTTTAGCCTGATCAACAGTAGTGTTGACTAAAAACATCAGTTTCTGGGTCCATCCTGTATTGTTGGTTGAATAGGTCTGATGTGGGTCCAGTGTTGTTCAGTTTGATACTTACCAAGTAATTCTTTTGGTGCTGGTCCAAGGACCGCATGATTTTACAGGAAAGAGCCCAAAGTCCTTATTAGGCCTTGGATAGGAAAAGCTAAGCTACTCTAAAAAACAGACCCCAAAATAGATTGGCTTAATTAATATTAAATAAGAATGAAGATTTCTATGCTGTAAGAGTCTGGAGGCATTGCTCTTCTTCTGGGTGGTTGTGGTTCCATCTTATTGTTCCATTCCCTCTTAGGGATATTGTCAAAGCTAGAAACTCTCCACATTCATATCCTAGACAGCAGGAACAAGATGGAGAAGGCTGAGGGTAAACGGCTTCATATTTGAGAAGATAACCCAGGAATTGCACACATTGCTTTCCTGGCATTATGTTGGTGGAAGCCAGTCTTGGAAATGTGATATGCAGGATGGTGGCCCTGGGCCCAGTTAAAACTTGAGGGAGAAGGTGGATAGGTATCGGTGAGCAGTTGATCTGTACCACAAAAGCCCCAATGACCACAACAGGTGGATGAAAGTTAGTGTCATTTTTTACATAAAAGCGTTAAGTCTGGAAGAAAAAAATCAATGTCCAATGTAACCCTACATTAAAATAAATTTTCATGTGAAGTATTTTCTTAATACCTTGTACATATATTTCTGTACTTAACCACTTTTCACAATTCTAGGTTTACATGTCTGTAGTTCCTGAATAGTCTTGAAGGCTTTTAAGTGTATGAATTCAAGTTTCCTTATGTGTCTGCATCTCTATCTCCTTATAATTTCTGTACTTATTTAATTGTTCATAAATCAGTATATAGCACAATTCTTGGTACAAGGTACACATCCAATAAATGCTGTTTGTGAAAGTGAATCATTCATCTTCTGTTGGTAAAGGTCAGTGTTATTTCCTTACCTCTCTTCCATCTAACTCATGACTTTGCTGAACATTTTCTCACATTCAGTATTCTCTTTACTGCATTCTTCACATCTTTGTTTCTTAATGTGTAGATCAGAGGGTTAAGGGTGGGTGTGACAATTGTGTAAAAGAGTGTAAGGAACTTCCCCTCATCTTCAGATGTGCTATTCTGTGGCTTCATGTACATATAAATGATTGTTCCATAAAACAGAGTTACTACTGTGAGGTGGGAACCACAGGTATTAAGGACCTTACGCCACCTTGCTGTTGACTTGATTCTCATGACAGCTTGAGTGATAATTGCGTATGAGATGAGAATTAGTGATAGAGGTACTAGAAGAAATATCACTCCAAGAGCATAGACGATGACCTCAATTACTTTTGAGTAGACACAAGCCAACTTGAGCAATGCTGGCATCTCACAAATAAAATTATCCACCTCCCTGTGCCCACATCTTGGCAACTTCAAAGTCAAGGAGCAAAGGATTAAGGAACTGCCAAGACCACCTAACCAGGCAGTGAGAACCATCTTCTGGCAAAGCTGAGGGTGCATTACTATTGTGTAGTAAAGAGGTTGACAGACAGCAGCATAGCGATCATAGGCCATCACAGCTAGGAGAAGACATTCTGTGGCTCCAAAGTCAAGGGCAAAGAAGAATTGGAGCACACACCCTCCATAGGTAATAGACTTTGTTGGACCCCATAGATTTACCAGCATCTGTGGTATAATGCTAGTTGCATAACAGAGGTCCAGAAAAGACAAATTGGATAGGAAGAAATACATGGGAGTATGGAGCTGGCTGTCTAGGTTAGATACAAGGATGATGGTTGTGTTTCCTACCAAAGTCACAATATAGAAGACGAAGACAACCCCAGAGATGATGTGTTCTACCTGGGGCTGATCAGAAAACCCCAGCAAGATGAAGTCTGCTGTGGCACTTCCATTGTTTGTGTTCATGACTCCTTATGAAGGTCTAGGAGATAATACCATGGTAATAAAAAAATAGCATCAGGTTTAGGTAGAAATAAAAATCTCTGAAATTTGCATGAGTATTCCCATTTCAGTTGTTTGTGTGCTCTCTCCCGTTCAGAACACTTCTTTTAACACTCTGTGTCAGTGTTCAAAGACTCTCTGTGTGTACTCATACCCAGAGTGGTTCTAAAAATAATATGGTAGGAGCACCTGGGTGGCTCACTTGGCTAAGTGTCTGACTTCTGCTCAGGTCATGATCTCACAGCTTGTGAGTTCAAGCCCTGCATCAGGCTCTATGCTGACAGCTGAGAGCTTGGAGCCTGCTTCAGATTGTGTCTCCCTCTGCCTCTCCCCCCACCCATGTGCTCTCTCTCTCTCTCCTTCAGAAATAAAAATTAAATATTTAAAAAAATAAAAATAAAATGTAAAACCTATCACACTGAATTGCAAATCATTGAAAAGGGTAATATGCCATGACACTTATGTTTCTGTGTTTTCTGGGTAAGCAATAAATCCATAAATTTAATGATATAATGTAGGAGTGGAACATAGTTTGAGTTGTTACTTCATGAAGTTATGATGTAAACATTAGTTTATCATGACAATTTTTTTCCCTTATCAAAACAGGGGAGTTTGAGGTAAAAAATGAGCAATTTTGTTGGGATAAACACCACTGTTTGATAGTAGAATCACTTTCTATAATCACTTACCTATGTCTGCATGCAGGCATTATCTTCACCCTCACCACCAATCTCCTCCTCATGTTTTCCCTCCTATTCAACATTTCAGACACTGATGTTCCTGTATCAATTTTGGACTTTTTCACTATTTTGTCCTGTTTTTGTGAGTGTGTTTTTGTTGCCAAGAAACAAAAAATCCTCCTTCTTCTTAACCATTATTCACATGTACAGTGGCCCTGTATTTCTTAGAATATCTTTCATTACTGCTATTATACCTCTTAAATAGACTTACTGATTTGTTGCATAGTTAAAAATTGAATTCCAGAAGCATTTGCTTACTACATACACACATCAACAACCTATGTTAGCTTCTACACACTAGGCCATTCAGCAGAATTGGCAAGATAGATAACTTGAACAAAAGGCAATTTATTAAGTAATCAAGAAGCTCTTTTACCTCATGGAATTTACCAACAATATGAGCTGATCCTCTGGTCGCTTCAGAACCCTATAGGTAAAATTTCACTTCAATTCTGAAAGAGTACAGAAAAGGGTTAAAGAATACATAAATTTCACTCTCTAAATATTTTATCATATCATTAAATATATGGAATGTTTAATGTCTGAATCAGTCCACTAATTTATTTTAATTTTTAATTTTTAATTTTTTTCGTTTATAATTTTTCTGCAGATAATTTCTGACCATGAACTTCAGAATTAAGGTTTTTATATTCATAGTGTGTTTGGAGCCAAGGCATAATAACTTTATTTTCTGCTATTACAGTAAAATAAGGAAATTACATACAGTATATCATTGTTACAAGCATCTTAGTTAGAACCTGAAAATGTTATAATCATGATGAAGGAGCTGTTATTACCAAGTGGTAAGATATAGGAATATAATTTTTCTCACGAGGAAATGGAAATTTAATTTAATTAATGAGTGTGACCTAAGAATATCACCTAAGTTGAGCATAATGCTTAAGTGCGGAGAATGTGGACTCAGAGCTTAGTGTCAAATCCCAGCTTTAGTACTTGGAAGTAATGAGTCCTTGGACAGGTATGTAACCTGTTTGTTCACCAGCTTTTCTTGTCAGCTTTTCTTGACCACATCAGGTTGGGATAGTTTTGGGAATGAGAAGGCCATAGAATTTTAGAGTTGGTATAGACTCAGAAACCATTATCCAGCCTTATGAAGGAGATCTTCCACAGAACATTCACAAAATTCCTGTTTTCATAGCTCCCTAAATGTCCTTTAAAGAGGGCCTCATACCTTCTCCTTACTTGAGCTCAGATATTCCTCTTTAACACCCAGGCACTGCCTGTTTTTCTTTATTCTGGAAATAATATGGAATAGGTGAATTCACATGACTTCTTAAAAAACAATTTTATTTTAAGAAAATAAAAACAAAAGAAAAAACAAAAGAAAAAAGCAAAAACTCACTGAGTTAAGGTGAATAGTCTCATAACTAACATGCAGATCAAGAAATAGAACCTTGGCAAGCACCAAGGAGCTTCTATTTGTGCCTCATCCCAGTCATTAACCTTTCCTGTACCATAAAGTATCCACTGTTTTCATGTTTATAGTAATCACCACCCTTTATTTTAATAGTGTGATTACCCCAATGTACATCTCTAGACAATATTGTATTTTTTTCCCATTAAAAATGTTTTATATGTCTTTTGTGTTTCCTTTAATATTTGAACCTATTATCAAATATAGTCTTAGACTTAATGTTCCTAGACTACGTGCGTACATGGTTGTCAGCGTTGCTCACAATGTATGAAGTTTAATTACCATGCTTTTCTGGTTGCTATCCATTCGACTCACCATGGTTTATTAAATGCCTTTGATTAGTTAGTTGAGAAGTGAACACAGTACTGCAGATGTGCTAAATCATTGAAGAAAGCAGTGAGCATCCATAATGCACACACAGTTTCCAAAATATATGTTAATAAGCTTAGCAGGTGAAAAACATTACTGGCTTTTTTTAAACTTCAGATCACATAATGTCCCAGCTATCCTTATCGGAAGTGCCAAGCCAGAAATTACACCTTATAATTTAATGTAGTGAATCCAAATATAGGACTTTTCACTTCATGCTTGTAAGCATTTTCCATATTGGTTTAATCCATGGTCTCAATTTTCAGGTCTTATTGTAATATTAATTTAAAAGCCATTGTGATATTAAAAATGAGACAACATTATGTGTTTAAAAAGAGGAATTCTATGTTTTTACTGAAACAGATTTTCATTTTCCATAGTATGGACTTCAGTTTCTAATAGAATAGTATGAACTTACATTTTAGTTTGCTCAGTGAAATTTAAGACAAATGGAGCAAACATATTTAAACATTATTTGAATGTAACAATGATGTGGAGAGAAAACTAGAAACAAGTTGAAACATATTTACATTTTAGGAGGGAAGAATTCACAGCTGTCTTGTTCTTATGTAGTCCAAAGATACCCTTGTTCCCATCGTGATGAGTCTTCATTTCACAGGTAAACATAAGGATTCTTGTTTGCAAGTTACTGAGTCCATGAAGTATGATGAGCCACTGCTTTCTTGAATTAACTTTACAATCACCTTTGCATTTAAATGCAACAGCTGAGCGAAGATTCAGCGAAGTCTTTATTTAATATGGATGTTGAAGAAAACTAGATATGGGACTGGTGAAAAGTTCATGAATTTGGTTTGTTGAATGTTTTTGATGGGATGTTTCTAGTCTTTTAGTGAGGACTCCTGTGAGGCATGCTTGTAGGTGGATCTCTGCCAGTTAAACAAGGCGAACCCTTCACTGGTGTACATGTGCTCCAAGAAGTGTTGATGTAGATGATGAAGTCTAGTATGTGAACATAGTATTGACTGTTGGGACTGGTGTCCCACAGAGGTAATTAACAAATCTTGGAATATTGTCAGAAGCTTATCCAAATAACTATTTTAAGAAAGGTTTCCTACAGACATTGGGTTTCATCTTGTCTTTCTTTTTCTTCTTTAGATTTCCACCATGGAAATTAATTTCAGAGATAAATTTATTTATGTATTGAATTCACTATTTAAGAGTATAAATGTATTGTAAATCATATTGATAAAAATTAACATATTTACTTGAACTGTTTTTAGTGGGTGAGACATCAATAAAGTTGGAGAAATATAGGCATTATCTAGGTGTTTTATATGCACGAAAGAAAACATATGTTTTTAAAAAACTATAGAATCATTATAGTTCTGTTGTTCATGAGCCATATCATCATTGTTCCATTTTCAATGGATTAAAAATAATTCCACGAAAATATTTAAAAAAATTTTTTTAATGTTTATTTATTTTTGAGACAGAGAGAGACAGAGCATGAATGGGGGAGGGGCAGAGAGAGGGAGACACAGGATTGAAAGCAGGCTCCAGGCTCTGAACCATCAGCCCAGAGCCTGATGCAGGGCTCGAACTCACGAACCGTGAGATCGTGACCTGAGCTGAAGTCAGACGCTCAACCGACTGAGCCACTCAGGCGCCCCTCCATGAAAATATTTAGCCTACCACTAAATTCACGAACTGCAATGTTACTAATAGCTTATAGCTACTCTCTGTCTTTACACTCTCTCTTATTTCTACCTGCCACCCAGGGAAATCATGACCTTGAATTTTGTGTTCATCACACACTTGCATTAGAATATAATTTTTTAAATTTAAATTCAAGCTAGTTAGCATACAGTGTAGTCTTAGCTTTAGGAGTAGAACCCAGTGATACATCTCTTACATATGACAGCTACTTTTTCTATTGAAAAAGTGCCCTCCTTAATGCCCATGACCCATACAGGCCATTCCCCCCACCTACTTCCCCTCCAGCAACCCTCAATTTGTTCTCTGTTGTTAAGTCTCTTATGGTTTGCCTTTCTCTCTGTTTTTAACGTATTTTTCCTTCCCTTCCCCTATGTTATCTCTTTTGTTTCTCAAATTCCACATATGAGTAAAATCATATGATATCTGTCTTTCTCTGACTTATTTCCTTTAACATAATACTTTCTAGTTCCATCATATATACACACGACACACATCTTCTTTATCCATTCATCATCCGATGTACATTTGGGCTCTTTCCATAATTTGGCTATTGTTAATAATGCTGCTGTAAACATTGGGGGTACTGCGCTCCTTTGAATCAGCATTTTTGTATCCTTTGGATAAATTCTTAGTAGTGCAATTTCTGGGTCCTGGGTATTTCTATTTTTAATTTTTTGAGGAACCTGCATCCTGTTTTCCAGAGTGGCTGCACCAGTTTGCATTCCCACCAACAGTACAAAAAT